AGCCTGGGGAAACAGACAGGAGGAATTTATAAACAGGACAAAACAACATCCTGGAGCAAACAGGACACACTGAGCTGAATGGCAGATCGTGGGACAAGACCACACAGATAGCGATCGACTAAATGAAATCATAAAGGCAGTTTCAGCCGCGTATTGTACGTGTTGAGGGAGTGAATGTGTACACGTGGAGGGTGTACTGTACCATAATGTTAGGGTGTAAACCTGCACTGCATCGTGGCGAGATGGGAGAGTTGAACCGAGACCCACAGGAAAGACGGGGAGACCTGGACTCATCCATTATAGCTGAGAGCTGAGTGCAGAGTCTCTGTGGACCTTCATCTCTCTCCCTGTCTCAACCTACAGGTTTTACACTGTATCTCAGGTTTTCAAACCTCTTGGTCCAAAAATCCTGGCTGAGGCCCAGTTCACGCAGACCTTCGTGTTCACACAGAACACACACACACACAGAGGACTGAACCTCACCTCGTCCTTCTCTCTTATCTGTTTCCTGCACATGTTGCCCATACATGTAAAGCTTTGAGGCTTTTACCTCGCCACAGCCAAATTACCTTTCGGCATCTACCCAACCCTGACATTTCGTCCACTTCTGATCATACAGAGGCTTAAATACCACATACTGTATACTGGGGTGTGTATGCACGACCATGTAGGATCGTTCACAAACACACCATCTCCACATACTGTATACTGGGGTGTGTATGTATGTAGGATTGTTCACAAACACACCATCCATACAGACAATCAATACGTGACGTATTTGAAGATATCAATGATTTTAATTCCTTCTTAATGACTTCATTTATTTGGATTAACCTCATTTTAGCAGACTGCATTACAAACATGAGGACTGGCATGAAACAGGGGCTTTATTTGTTTGGGGGGATGTTGAAGAAAACAAAAAAAAAATTACACAACAGTTTACATGGTATTACAGTAATTTAGATGAAAAATAAGACTCATTTTGTTTTTGCTTTTCATAACTTTAATGACTCATAATCAGAAATCAAATCTTTGTCACCACGCGGCCCGAGCTTATTTTACCTGGTGCTAACATAACAACTTTAGGAGTGTTTGAATGATGGTTTTTGATGAGTTGTGTTCCAGCTTAATTTGAAAATCTGGCAAATCTCAAATGTAAAGATCAATAATGCAGCCAGTGATAATTAGTGCTTCATGGATCCAAATGAACCCATCCATAATTATATAAAATTATGTTTCATCCATTTTAGGTAATATTTTAGTCTGAGTCTCCCGAGTATTCTGTTTTTCTTTTCTCATCAAGTGTAATTTAGTCTAATAATTTATCTAGTCCAGTCCTTAGCCTGCTGTAGCGTAGTCCTTTCTCTCGTCTCACCTTGTCTTTAAAGACATAAATAAGAGATTAATAAATAAATAGGAGACACCTTTAACACTTTTTACCCGGGGTTTGCCACAATATTAGGAGGAGCGTCCAAGTCCGGTGTTGAGTCCCGGGGAGTAAGACGGAAAGAATTTTTAATGCAGTACAAGATTCAGCAAGTGCACAGGGACCCGAGCTGCTGCTCTGTGCTGCTGCTCCCTGCTGCTGAGAGGAGGAATAACAACAGAAGGCACGCGGAGAACAACTGTACGCGTGCACCTGTACACAGGCCGTGCTGATATTGATCGGTCAGACCTGTTTGGCTGAATATGCAGCCTGTTTGTCTATTTCATGGTCAATTAGATAGCTGGGGTACACTGGCTGTTTGCTGCTGTGCAGAGGTAAACATGTGCACACAGCACCTTTGTTGGCTAGGGGTGTCAACATGTAACACACACACACACACACACACATCGAAACACACAAAATGATCAATACCAGCAGTCAAACTAATGCATTTACTATATGCAGCTCACATGAACAATCATGTGAGCGGACGGGCTGTACATCTGAGGACGGAGTCTAACCGCAGTCAACACACCACTCATTTACCTTTCTTACTTTGTCCAGACTTCTTCTTATTTGCTAGGGGGCGAAGTTCTCAGACTGGGATTGATCCTGAGCTGCCATCTTAACCCTCGCCCCCAGGGCAGCTTAGTACAAACACACAGCAAGCCCTCTCCACTTACAGCAATCATGGTCATTCACTCTGTCCACATGTAAAACTACAGAGCTGAGATGAAAGTACTCGGAGTAGAACTGTTCAACAACCTTACAGTGAGAACACCTCTTGTTTTCTGGGTTGATACCTGGTCTTTCTGCATGGAGTTTGAATGTTCTACCTTTGGGTGTTTTTTTTAAATTTTTTTATCTGGTGTACCCCACTTTCCTCCCACATTTAATCGAGCTCTGGCAGCCTTCGCTTGGCCTTTACTTAATCACAGGTTCTGGTTTTAATTCTGTTTATAGAAATTGTAATAAAATTTTGGTTAACAGTCTTGGAAACACTGTATGATTCTGGATGGAATTCAGGGGTCGGGATGACTGGATCCAAAAAAAAACAAAAAAACAACTAGCATAACAGCGTCTCCACATCAGTAAGTTTGTTCATGTACAGGAGATAAAAAAAATTTACATTCAAAGACAAATGTGAAGAAGCAGTGTGAACATAGACCAAGAGACCAACACTGTTCATGACTCACAGATGTCTGTCATTGTAGTAAATGGTGAATGAATGCCACTTGCAGCCAACAAATCCTCACCCACCCCCCAAATTAAGGCCTAATTCTGGATAGCAACATTTTTTTAATTTTGCTCTTTAGAATTTTTAAAATGTAGCCTATTTTCTATTGTTTTCATTCAATAATTATTTTTCGAAAAAAAATATTTCCCCCCTATTAAAATGCCAGCCAACAAGGATAAACCACCACTTTTTTTTACATGCAATAACATAATAAAGCAAGAGCTTTAAGTTTTGTACCTCTACAGTACCTGTTTCCAGATATTTTTCAACATTATTTGCCAATAAGGTCTCTGGTAAGAGCAAAATCCAAAAGTATGAACCAATCCTGACCAGAGGCTTGCAATCCTACCTTCCATGCAATCCTGTTCCCTTTGGAGCTGTGCTGCAGAGCCATTGGAAAGTCTCCGCGCTCGTAGAACTTGCGGAACGTTGTCGGTCCAGCGGGTCGTTCCCGGTAGGCCCCAGCAGGGGGAGGACCCAGGACCTAGACAGACACAAAATGGAAAAAGTGAGGAAAAAATAGACAAAATAGAGGGAATGAATGGTATTAGGCATAAGCTGCAAGTAAGAGAGTTGTCTTATGAAATCAGAATTGACAACTGACTGTGTTTTCTCTGACAGGAATAGAATCACTCCCACTGAGTTTCCTCAAAAGTAATTCAGGCAGACACATATGCAGGCTCCTCCACGAGGGCAAAAACACAGAGAGTACGCACTTGTGTATGTGTGTGTGTGTGTGTGTGTGTGTGTGTGAGAGAGAGAGCCCTGGCCCTGCTGCCACAGGCACTGCCTGAGGCATTGTTAGGATCATCTTTTCTCTGCCTCCATATTGGATGTGTGCTATTACTGCGCCACAGAAAGCCAATGGGACTTCTATCACATCGGCAACAGAGTCTCCTCCAACTGTTGTTGCTGCCGTCACGGTATAAACCACAGGTGGAAGTAAATTAACCTCAGTGGAGTGCTGAGAATAAAAATGTTTGGGATTTGAAGTCAACTTTCTTTTTCCCACAGCACAAACAAACTAGTTATCAGACGGTGATACAGAGGCTATAAAACAACCGGTGATTGAAAACCTTAATTGGTCCGGTACTCTACTGTCATTCACATCAGATCAAGATCAAGTCATCAGACAATCATCCGATCATCGTCTACTGTTTAATATTTCACAGGGTTAAGAAGAAAAGCCCTGGCACAGATGGAGAGAAACTGCAAACTCCAAACAGACACAGCAGGGATTGAACTAAAAAAAACACATGATCTTGTTGGTATATATACACAATATTTAATGTATGAAATCATATTTCTGAAAAATATTCAAAAATCTTCAATGTGGTAGCTGCTTGATTAATCAAGATTAAACAATAGTCCGCAATATGAAATAAAAAGTCATATTTTTCTGTACAATCCTCTATGTGTTGTTTGTGACAAATCCAAATAATGGAATTATTAATATGACAAACACATTGCAGAAGAACAAGAAGAACATTGTTCCGCTGGTTTGATTCCCTGGTCCTTCTGTACGATGTTTACATCCCCAGTGTACGTTGGTACCATTTCTATGCCATGTGGCCCGATTGCCTGTAATTATGAACAGGTAATTTGCATAAATCGTAATTGATATTTTCACATTGGCAAGGGCAAGAAAATAAGATACGCCGTTGTAAACCGTTGGTTTTAGATGCAGCATTTATCACATATATCCATTTGTCTCGCACTCTTTTCTCTCTGTTTGTTCCTCTGACTGCATGAGCGCTCTGGCAGTCCTGGCAGTGGAAATGTGGAAGCTCTAACGCTGGCTGGATCAGTGCTGCTCCAGCCTGCAGGAGTGACAAAGCCCTGGTATCCAGGTAGCTCCTACAGCGGTTGAGCCGCTGCACAGGGAGGCTAAAAATAGCTCAGACTGGGCAGCAGGGAGAGAATGAATCCAGACTGCATTGACTGCCTGAGCAGCTTTTATGGTCAGGAATGATGACGCTGCAGTCAATTCCATGGCCTGTGTTCATAGCTGAGGTGTTACATGCTTTACGGCTTCCATTTTTCTCTACACTTATAAACATTTGCCAAAAAGCTACGGAGAAGGCACCCGTTCAACAACGTTTCCCTGAAACTAATATCACAAAAAAAAAAAAAAAAAAAAAAAGCATTTTTGCCACCAATAATGTAAACTGGCTTTTCACAGCAGCTTAAGGGGA